TTCTAACAGCTCAGAATCGTATTGTAGTCCCGGAGGACAGATGGATCAAGATCCAACAACTTATTCCTCAAGCCCTACTCTCTCCGTTACCACTACGACAGTGGCAGAGCCTGTTGGGACTACTCACATCAGCTCAAGACTTGACAGTCAGAGGCAGGCTTCAATTACGTCCGTTACAAGTCCTCATCAATGCTCATCTCGAGGACCCTCTACCATTCAGTCTACCAGATTATGTCAAACCACATCTACTCTGGTGGACCAAGAGATTGAATGTTTGCGCGAGGCGCCTCCTTAGTAGAGCCGAATCAACTCACATCTCTACGTGACGCACGCCACTACAAGGTTGGGGAGCCCACCTTGCCGGCAGGACAGCCAGCCAGGCCTATGGAGCAATCAAGAGAGCAAATGTCACATAAATCTGCTAGAGATGCAAGCGGTCATAAATGCCATAAGTCACTGGAGCAACCTACTACAGAACGCTCAGTTGATGGTTCACACAGACAATTCAACAGTGGCGTTTTATGTGAACAAACAAGGTTCAACAAGGTCACAGAACCTACTGACTCGATGTTTCAGACTGTTCGATCTAATCGACAATCTAAACATACACGCCAGAGCTTGCCACATTCCAGGAGCAAAGAATGTATTAGCAGACGCCTCTCTCTCGGCCACACCAACCGTCGCCGACAGAATGGATGCTCCACACAGAGATATTCAATCAAATAATCATGGAAATAGGATCTCCTCTGATAGACCTATTCACCACTGATTCAACAAGCAACTGACAACATTCAGATCGCCAGTTCCAGACCCACTAGCATGGGCAACGGACGCACTAAGCATATCGTGGAGGGACTCAACGCTGCACGCTTTCCGCCTCCAGCGCAATCCCACAAGTCTTACAGAAAATCAGTCAAACGCAGAGCCTCCATCTGATTTTGGTCGCTCTACTGGCTAGCTTTGTAGAACTTGGTTTCCAGATCTCATTCAAGAAATCGGAAAACCAATTCTTCAGCTCCCACAACGCGCCAATCTATTGATACATCCGCACACCAAACAAGTGCACGAAACACCAGAAGCATTCCAACTTCACGTATGGATTGTATCAAGACATGTCTGAATAAGAGAGGTTATTCTGCCAGAGCGGCTAAAGCGGTCACGCTTGCACTAATGAACTCAACTCGTAACTTATACGATGACAAATGGCACAGTTTTGTCAATTACGCTGCTAAGAAAGGATTTACAGCCAGATATGCTACACATCCTCAAGTGGCAGATTTCTTATGTTATCTACGTCAAACTAAGAATCTAAAAGGCTCAACTTTTTCCACTTATCTTGCAGCTATAAGTTCTGTCATAACTATGAGAACGGGCGTCAAGTTAACAAAAACACCAGAGTTACTCGCTTTGTTACGAGCGTTCCCGTTGGAGGATCAGAAACGGAAGTTTCACGCTCCAGCCTGGGATCGAAATATAGTGCTCCAACACCTCACTAGTGAGGCTAATGAACCATTGCTATCCACATCGTTTGAATCACTGACCCACAAAACCTTGTTCCTGTTAGCACTAGCTACGGCCGCCAGGATGTCAGAGATTCACGCACTGGATTACGAGAGAACACGCTTTGATGATATTCATAACATCGCTCATCTGGGACTTCACTGGGATTTTATAGCAAAAAACCAACTGCCAGGTCAACCAGACAGATTTTTCCACGTCCCAGCTCTCTCATCCATACTTGGACCGCATGATACAATGGATCTATCACTATGCCCAGTAAGAGCACTGAAAATATATCTCCAACGATCCGAACAGAGGAGGTAAAAATTCAAGAGATTATTTATTCCTCTATCAACAGCTACGCAGACTGAAGTCTCACGTACTACTATCTCCATTTGGATCAGAACTGTCATACTACGTGCCTACAAGGCTGCAGGACTCGACCCTCCAAGAGCTTCTAATCCTCACGAAATTAGAGCTCTAGCCTCAACTCTCGCTCTACATGGGAATTGCTCGTTGAATACCATAATGGAGGGATGTTTCTGGAGATCCGATATGGTGTTTGCCAACCACTATCTGAGAGATATCACCACCGAGGACGTCTCAGGTATACACCATTTCGGTCCCATGGTCCTCACTCAACAGTTGACAGTTCCACGGAGAAGATAAGTCTATCTTACAGATTATACTTATCTGATAACAGTACTAATAGCTACATGCTATCTATATATTTTGCTTAAGTTTAATTTATTTTCTTAAGCTCAGTACTATGGTTTTTATATCATACTGTATATAAGCTTTCAACTCCTAGGAGTTTTGCTATTATATATATGTTCAGCTTAAGTTTCATCAATCCTTAAGCTCAGTCATATGGTCATATTCATAAATGTATTAGCTAACAAACTCTAAGGAGTTGGTTACTATTATACAGCTTAAGTTATAATTATATCTTAAGCACAGTACTATACTATTATAGCTTAAATATATGCATATCTTAAGCTTAATACTTTGGTTCATTTTTAAAAGTATCCACTATAAACTCACAGAAGTTTATACTATCACATTAATAGCTTCAGCTTACATTAATGTTGTATATACTTTTATCATATTCAGTAAATTGTAATAACCTTTATATGGCAGCTGATAAGTTAAGCAGCAGGAATTCATCAGTTCAGTGCCTTTATGAAGTTCCCATAGGGTTATTACAATCATCACAGTTCAAATCGCTAATTATTAAAATCCAAAGTATATATATTCCCACCTCCTTTTCCGTCGGATTCTACAAGCAATAAGCATGAGTCAGGATAAGGAAAAATATGAAATTTTTAGAGTAAAATTAATATTTTATACTTATCCTGACTCATGAGGTAAGCCCTCCCCTCCTCCCCACTTAACACTTTGGATTTCTTCGGAAAAATAAAGTGTCAGGCTCGAAACAAAAGGAGAGAGTGAGGCACATGGGTTGAGGTGGCGCCCTCGTTCCCGCGCTTGTGGAAGGGAGGTAACTCGTGGTGAGTACTAATTAGTGATTTTTTATTGAAGGGAACTTCAATTGGGAGATACACGTGTTCCACTATGTTCGCAAGAAGAAGAAGACAAGCAATAAGCATGAGAATAAGTATAAAATATTAATTTTACTCTAAAAATTTCATATTCATTTGACACCTTTCACTTGATGTATATATTAGAAAAAATGCATATAACTTACAACGAATATAACTAAAATTTGTTGTCTCTTGAGTTTGTTATATCAATAGTTTACTTTATTATATGACATATTTGTTATTGTTTGAATATTGTGGTTTGTCAACAAATCATTTCCTTGTGAGGATTTTGAGATAGCTAAGATCTCCATCACTGTTTACTGACAAAGGTGTTCTAAACTGAGGATTGGATGGTCTGCGCTTGTGACATGGCTCAGACTGTATTCATCATAGCTCATACTGTCAGTGTCTGGTTTGCTAGATCTAAGCTTAAATTGGCAGCTTTGATATAACTTCTTTGAGTGGCATTTTAGAAGTTGGGAAGTACAATATAGAACAAACTTTATGGATAACAACTTCTTTAGTCGTGAGTGCGACATTTCGATACAGATTCTTGTACCATTGTCAAGCAACTGCACCTGCTTGACAACAGTACAAGAATCTGTATCGAAATGTCGCACTCACGAATAAAAAGAAGTTGTTATCCATGAAGTTTGTTCTATATTAGCATTGATATACCTGGAATATTGCAACGTTAAACAAAGGTCCTGGATAGAGTAGGTCCTTAATTGCCATGTTTGTCAGGAAGAAGCTACTAAAATGGGAATTAGGTGGTCTTGGGAGCTGCTGTTTAGGACTGGTACACAAGGAGGACACAGGCTGACTATTTAGAGGTCATATCCTAGTCAGGGGCGGTGGGGTAGTCTAGTGGTTGAAGCGTTGGCGTTGGCTCACGCCGAAGACCCGGGTTTGAATCCCCACATGGAAGCCCATTTTTGGTGTCCCTCGCCCTGATATTGCTGGAATATTGCTAAAAGCGGCATAAAACTAAACTCAGTCCGTCATATCCTAGTCAACAGGCTGCCATTGTACAAAGCAATCTCAAGGCAGAGGTGTTCATATTTTCCCATATTTTACCCTAACATGGACTTGCAACAGTTGTAGCACTGAGGTTGCTTTGTACAGTGCCTCCCAGAACCAAGTGACACTGTACACCTTGCAGTGATCAGATGTAATACCAGTGACTACAGCATTGAACCTTATTTACTCACTCACTCACTCCTGTTCTGTGTGTTGTGAGACTGTGTGCAGTGCTTCTGTGTGAAGTGACTACTCGTAACCATGGTAACAGTGCTTAATCAGGAAAAATATGCTGACTTTAGAAAACTATAAGACAAAATATTATGGATGTCAACGTCTTCTTTATTGTATACACGTTTCTGGGCTTTTCCTTGCCGCTTCATCAGGTGAAAACTGTTTAAATCAGAACGGGTACAGACACAACATAACTGATATTAAACAAGCATGACAACTAACATGTGTCACTGGAAGATATGCTGGATTGTCATACAGGTCAAGAATTGGTGATGATGCTCTGTGTTTTTGAATTTTGTTATAGATCATAATCTTAATAGGAAATGTTGATTGACTTCTAAAATTACATGTATTAGAGACAGAATGTAGAATATATATTTCGTTCTTGATACCAGTTTATTGCGAAGTCCTCATAGATCCTTGCTATTTACTGGGTTGAGGTCTGTTTATAATGTCACATTTGTCCAATCGAGATGCTGTGTGAATTATCAGAATTTACTCTTGTTAAAATGCAACCCAAGCAATTATAATATGAGCTGAGTTTTGTAGTCACATGGCTGTAACACACTGAAGACAGGTCAGGTTTAGGTGTCCCGACATAGAGACCATTTCAAAATACTGATGGTAGTATGGAAAGGTTTGCAGGTACTGTACCTGTAGGATGGGACGCCATGTATGATGTGTTGGGTATCTGTATTGCAGTCAGTGAGGCAGGACATCGACCATCTGGAGCGTATTAGAGACGAGTACATAAAACGTAATGAGACACAGGTAAGAATGTTATTTGCGGCTCAGCTTACAAGAAACTACACTAATTGTTTGATGGGCATTCTAGAAGTTGGTGACTCAAAAATGAAACATACAACTTTATGGATGACAACTTCTTATTTATTGCATAAAGCGACGATTTGATGTAGATTCTTACATTGTTATCAAGCTAAAAGAAACTACACACATTATTCTCAATCTCTGCATACTTATGAAACAGCAGAACAGGAGATGTTTTTCCTCAGATTTCAAAGTTTGCTAAAGCGTGTTCATTTAAACCTGAAGTCACTGAAGTCATACACTGAGTTATCCATCTACTCATTCAGCAAGCTGCTGTGAAGATCCATATTAGAATTGGTCTTCAGAAACCCAATCTTACCACAAGATTGGATGGTCAGGCTCGCTTTCTTGGTTGGCACTTGCCATTATATCCCAATTGCATAGATCGATGCTACTGATGGCGATCACTGGATTATCTGGTCCAGACAGCTTATTTACAGACTTTCGCCATATAGCTAGAATACTACTGAGTGTAGTGTTAACAAAACATTCAGCAAGCTGCTGTGACATGGCTGTTGGGTCCTTGTTCCAGGGGGAGACAATTCAGCTGTTCATGAATCAGATAGCCTCCCTTCAGGAGGAGATTGGGCAGCTTGCCATGGCACAGGCCAACACCAGTCAGCTTCTGCAGCAGAAAGAGGCTGCACTGGAGAAGGAGAAGCACATCCGAGATGACATCAAGAAGAAGTACCATGTGAGAGAGAGGGAGAGAATGTGGTAGTGTCATGTCATGTGGGGGAGTCTGAACGGCATCATGAGAGAGGAGGGTGTCATTGTATGGGAGTGTTTTAATAGCGTCGTGAGAGAGGGGGATTTCATAGAGTGATGAGAATCTTAATTGTATCACGAGAGAGGGGGATTTCATAGAGTGATGGGAGTCATAATGGTATCACAAGAAAGGGGGATTTCATAGAGTGATGGGAATCTTAATGGTATCACGAGAGAGGGGGATTTCATAGAGTGATGGGAGTCATAATGGTATCACTAGAGAGGGGGATTTCATAGAGTGATGGGAGTTTTAATGGTATCGCGAGAGAGAGGGATTTCATAGAGTGATGGGAGTCTTAATGGTATCATGAGAGAGCGAGGGATTTCATAGAGTGATGGGAGTCTTAATGGTCTTTCATAATGGGAGTCATAATGGCATCACGAGAGGGATTTCATAGAGTGATGGGAGTCTTAATGGTATCACTGAGAGAGAGGGGGATTTCATAGAGTGATGGGAGTCTTAATGGTATCACGAGAGAGGGGATTTGATAGAGTGATGGGAGTCTTAATGGTATCAAGAGAGAGAGAGGATTGGCATCACGAGATAGAGAGTGATGGGAGTCTTAATGGTATCACGATGAGAGAGGGATTTGATAGAGTGATGGGAGTCTTAATGGTATCACGAGAGAGGGGGATTTGATAGAGTGATGGGAGTCTTAATGGTATCACAAGAGAGGGATTTGATAGAGTGATGGGAGTCTTAATGGTATCATAGAGAGAGGATTTGATAGAGTGATGGGAGTCTTAATGGTATCATGAGAGAGGGATTTCATAGAGTGATGGGAGTCTTAATGGTATCATGAGAGAGAGGATTTCATAGAGTGATGGGAGTCTTAATGGTATCACGAGAGAGGGGGATTTGATAGAGTGATGGGAGTCTTAATGGTATCACGAGAGAGGGATTTGATAGAGTGATGGGAGTCTTAATGGTATCATATGAGAGAGGGATTTGATAGAGTGATGGGAGTCTTAATGGTATCACGAGAGAGAGGGATTTGATAGAGTGATGGGAGTCTTAATGGTATCATATGAGAGAGGGATTTGATAGAGTGATGGGAGTCTTAATGGTATCACGAGAGAGGGATTTCATAGAGTGATGGGAGTCTTAATGGTATCACGAGAGAGAGGGATTTGATAGAGTGATGGGAGTCTTAATGGTATCATGAGAGAGAGGGAGAGGGATAGAGTGATGGGAGTCTTAATGGTATCATATGAGAGAGATTTGATAGAGTGATGGGAGTCTTAATGGTATCACGAGAGAGGGATTTCATAGAGTGATGGGAGTCTTAATGGTATCATGAGAGAGAGGGATTTGATAGAGTGATGGGAGTCTTAATGGTATCACGAGAGAGAGGGATTTCATAGAGTGATGGGAGTCTTAATGGTATCACGAGAGAGAGGGATTTCATAGAGTGATGGGAGTCTTAATGGTATCACGAGAGAGAGGGATTTCATAGAGTGATGGGAGTCTTAATGGTATCACTAGAGAGGGATTTCATGAGTGGGAGTCTTAATGGTATCATGAGAGAGAGGGATTTCATAGAGTGATGGGAGTCTTAATGGTATCATGAGAGAGAGGGATTTGATAGACTGATGGGAGTCTTAATGGTATCATGAGAGAGAGGGATTTGATAGAGTGATGGGAGTCTTAATGGCATCACGAGAGAGAGGGATTTGATAGAGTGATGGGAGTCTTAATGGTATCATGAGAGAGAGGGATTTCATAGAGTGATGGGAGTCTTAATGGTATCACGAGAGAGGGGGATTTCATAGAGTGATGGGAGTCTTAATGGTATCACTAGAGAGGGGGATTTCATAGAGTGATGGGAGACTTAATGGTATCACGAGAGAGAGGGATTTCATAGAGTGATGGGAGTCTTAATGGTATCACGAGAGAGAGGGGATTTGATAGAGTGATGGGAGTCTTAATGGTATCACGAGAGAGAGGGATTTGATAGAGTGATGGGAGTCTTAATGGTATCATGAGAGAGAGGGATTTGATAGAGTGATGGGAGTCTTAATGGTATCACGAGAGAGGAGGATTTCGTAGTTAGGCGAAAAATTAATAGTGTCAAGAGAAGGGGGATATTGGAGAGTGAGGAAGTCTCAATAGTGTTATGAGAGGGGATGTTGTAGAGTAGTCTGAATGGTGTTATGTGAAACTTGAATGTGTCCCGTGCCTGTCCCTTTCTAATTGTTTAGAATGACTGAAATTGTTTAGGATAGCTGAACAATGTACCATGCCATGATCGGGTAAACTGTGAATTTATTCACTTTTAACATGTTCAAAGCTAAATAAAATCAAAAATGATTAAGTAGCACAGAATTTATTTGTATATGAAAGGGTAAATGTCAAGATGGTCCTTTGTTGGATTGTGCCCTCATGCCAAAATGTGAAGATTTAGGGTCCCGATTTAACTTCAGGAATGAACCTCTAATAGAAACTTAATTTAAAACACTGTTTTCAGAAAAATATTGGGTTCAAAGTTGATACTGATAGTTCTTAGAAATAAAGAGCAAAACAAAACATTCAGTAATCACGAGGTCCAGGGTGTTAAAGAAAGTGGGAATACAAACTACAAACACTTGTGTCGCACTCATGGTTGTAAAAGTTCATTCCTTGCGGATATCTTCTGAATTCATTATTTTGTGTTGTGTTTGACCTCGGATAACTCAGATACGTATTTAGGTAGATCCCTTTGACTTCAACACATCTGTGTTTGAATGTCCATGTAATGAAGTGAACAATCCATGTGCTAGGCTGACCATAAGGTTTGTGAAGTAAGGGTTCCACCAGTGATTCTTGTCCACTAGAAGTGATCTGCCTCCACAGGAAACCCGCAAGCGAGAGGAGTCAGTGTCCCGAAGGAAGAAGGATGCAGAGGTGAGACTGAAGGATGCTCACTCAGAGAGTCTGGAGATCTCACAGCATCTTCAGGAGGCACACGAGTGGTTCAAGACTAAATTTGACAAACTACAGATCGAACTGGACATGTCCAGGTAATTAGCCAGAGTTCTCCACTGAGTTACACTGGGTGAGTCACCTTCCCCACCTCACACATGTGTCTAAATACCTGAAGCACTGGACGTGGTGCTGCTTAAATAATGCTGATGTAATGGTAAATTTGAACTTACTCACCTGGAGCAATTTACACTCGATGCCAATTGAAGCTCATTACATTTGGTTCCAGGAAAACCCAGGCCAAGTTAGAGGAGGCCAACACCATCCAGAGGGAACAGTTGGAGTCTGAGAGGTACCATGCCCAGGAGGCAGCAGTGAAGGCTCGGGACATGATTAAGGTGAGGACCTAGCACCATACATTCATCACATACAAACCTTCCCTAGACAGCAACACAAACCCCGGCATCACTGGCACCGCCTGGCTCTTAGCACTATATAAATGGAAAGGGATGTAACAAGGTCAACACACCAACATTCCAGGACAAATTCAGCAATGCTGTCTGTAAATACGCCCTGTATTTTAGGTTATCAGTTTCCTTGTTTCAGAGTTTATAGATTATTAGACCAATTCTGGCCTCACAGGGGTACATATGTTAAGATAGCCACCTGAGAGCCTGGGTGTCACGGATCAGTGGTTATACTATCAACCACTAGTTTCCATTGGCCCAGATTTTCTTTTTCAGACACCATGATACAGCTGTAACATTGACATTCACCTGGTACTCATGGCTGCTGACGTAGTGAAACAGAGACATCTCTATTATTACTGCTTTCAGGCAAGTCGTGAGACTATCGGTCGCCTCGCGGACTACGCAGACCAGGCTGAGACGGACACCAAGCAGCAGATGGCGAAACTGAAGGCCGAAGCCCAGACCGAGAGGGATGTCAATAAGTATGTGGAACTCAGGCACAAGAAATATAAAGTGAGCGTCCATCTTGGTTTAAGCATGCCATGCATTCAGACGTTGCTGTCGTCCTGGTTTGCTGAGGGACGAGGTTCTGTTAACATCATTGACAGTCTGGTTTGATTCTTGTCCCGCTGAGTTAATGGAAACATGTTCTTTTGCTCTGCCTGTATTTCCCAGCTTTCATTAATTGCTATGACTGACATGTTGAGAACTTGGCATGGTTCTGACTGATGCTTGACTGATAATACTGTTCCTATTCTACTCAATTTCATTAAGCAAATATGTTTTTAGGTTTACTTGTCTTATTCATGTCATTTTACATTATCCCTCAACCCATGTAGCATATATGTTGGCTAGTTTCAGAATTTGTTAAGAATATTTTCAAGACTTTATAACAGTGATGGCGCCTTTTGATACAAGATTTTGGCATTTGTAGCATTTTTTCACTCATAAAAAGCATTCAATATTGCTTGAGTCCTTTGCTCAGATATCATCCTAAAGGTATTGCCTCTTACTGTTATTGAATTTTTGTGGAAACAAAATCTACAGTGGTGAAAGTTAATGCTGAACTTTAGATAGGGGACCAGTGATCAAAGACACCTCTTTTACAGGATTAGAAATTTACACAAGTCTGAGCCACTAATCTTTAGGGTATCCAGAGGGCTGGTAGGCTTTTCCTCTATGGTGTCACTATCCAGGATAGAAGACGTGCTAGGTTAACATCTATGTCTGATATTTCATTGTGCAGAGTTACTGCCCTTAGTCATTCCAGGATCAGCTATTCAACAATAATCCGTCAGCACCAATTTGGTTTGTCAACAACCTGAGTTACAAGGGCCTCTCTGTGGGGTTGTGTGTGTGTCTGAGATAACTTGTCTATATCCTATTAGTTTTATATCCCAGCACTAATGATGATGCTTCAGTACTAACTATTATGATGTGTTAGTTGTCTATTGAATATTTATTGGCTCAGATAATTCCTGTTTGATCGTTCATTATTGTCTTTTTGGTCAGCTCTACTGAGATGATTGTTGCTTGATGTATACACATGGAAAAAAGTATTGCAACACCTATGATTTTTAACCCCCATGTGGTAATTTGTATTCATATTAAATAATACTTGTTTGATTATTTTGACACTTCAGGTGCACCATACATTGATTTTAGATATTACTTTAGCCAGATAGTAAGTTAAATTGGTGATTGCATAAGTTTCTTTGCTATTGTTAATGGTAACATAATGATGGCTCCTATGAAAAATATAGGTGTTGCAAGACTTTGTTCCATGTGTATATTGCATCAGTATCAACAAATACCAGCAATGATATCCGTGTGCATGTATATGCATGTGGTACATAATACACAGTTAGTTTCTCATGAGAAGCTTCTGTCTCTGTCTGGAACATGGAAGGTCGGTGGTTTAATCCCCTGGCCATGCCATACCATCATGCTGAAAGACATTAGAAAATGGTACTTGTTGATACTCAGCCTGGTTTGGGGCATTAAAGGATAACTCAAGGCTTTTTGCTTAAATGTTTATAAGGTCAAACTGGGAACAGTTCAAACTATTTATTTTTTCTTATCCTGACTCATGATCTTTTGCTTATCTCTCTTTTCTTTTCGAATGGTAGTGGAAACACTTGAATCCCTTGATGTGGCCAATTTTTTTTACATATAATACATAGTAGTTATTGCCAAATCCATACACAGCGTAATTTTGAAGAATAGGACCTAAATAAAAAGGATATAATGCCGTATACGGGACTCCAGTGCTCACCCAACCATCCACTTGGGCGAAAAGGGAGAGAGTGACAGGTGGGGCTGGTCGCATGGCTGTTTACGCGGGGAGAGGGAGGTAACTCGTGGGGGAGTGTATTTTTACGTCCGCTTCAGGAACTTCAAGGGATTCATGTGTTCCACTACCATTCGAAAAGAAAAGGGAGATAAGCAAAAGATCATGGATCAGGATAAGTATAAAAATATCAATTTTACTTGAAAAATTACGTTTGTCAAGATTACAGACATGCCTTGACAAACCCACCCTAAATCAGAATGGTGAAATGTTTTCATCTTCAAAGAAATACTTTCACCAAAAAAATACACCAATCAAAGAACCACTTGCATTTCGTCAACTCACAGTATAACGTGTGAACCAACACCAGTTCTTCAAGCAAGGTGTTTGAAGTGTGACCATATGTCTTGTATGTTCATGCGTAGGATCATTCTAAAAATATGACAGTTCTAACTGTTACTGTCATTAAAGTGCATTAACCTGGAACAGCTGATTATGTATGGCATTAAGTTGTAGAACTGTCATCTCTTACAAAACTTCAGGAATTTATACTTTGTTTCTGACATGTGTTCATTCATTATGTAAGGAATGTATTATCTAGAAGGGTAACAATATATGGAACCATCCATGTATTTCAGTTGTTTGTGCTGCAATAGTACTAAATCAGTTATGTTTAATTGCCGGGTAAGTCAGTGATATTGTTGATAGTATGCATGAAAGTTGGTAGTTTGGTAAGTCACCCGTGTTGACCATTGACAGAGGTCCCTGTCTTGTTCTTTAGGAAGCCAACGATAGCTACTTGGACGAGCTGATGATGCTGTTAGACTCCACATCAACAGAAGGAGATGTCAGCTGGCTGGCCTGACCTGACCTGACCTGAACCTCCAACACAACTGCCTTCACATTGCATTGATGACCTTCACCTTCCATTGATGACCTTCACTCTTGGATGCTCAAATATTTGTTAAAGCTGTTTTGGAAACAGTGAATATGGCAAGAAATTTATCTTTCGCAATATGATCTTGACTTGTAAAAATGTTTTCTTCAGTCATCATGCAAGTGCCATGGGTATTAGAGCTTCCAGGAGCTTCAGACATCTGCTTTAACTGATTGCAGCCCTGCTTCTCATTATTAAGGTATGTCTCCAGATGTAATGATATTAGAACATAGGAACTGTATGATATTGCTTGTAAGGTACTTGCAGTATTAGTCTTGGCTTTGAGAACAGTTATTTCCCTTAGGAGTGCCAGGATCTGCTGACAGTTTCCCAGATCTATCCCTGTGATCTGTGAGCACTCATCGTCATGCATCATACCAAGATGGTAATCTTTGAATCAGTCCAACTCATAAACATCATAAACCAAAGATTTTTCAATCTGCATTTAATATGTACCTTGTTGAATTTCCAGCTCGGCAGGTAAATAAGCAAAGTATTTTGTTGAAGACCTGTCCATGATATGTTTACATTTTCTTGTGTTTGTTATGAATTGTATATATTGTTAGGAGAGAGAGAAGAAATCCAGCTATGGACATGAATGATTGTTACAGGGTTGTATCTGTACTGCATGCACAAGTCTGCTGTATGCAGAATTATGTAGAGCAAGAATAGACTCGACAGGGTATCCATTGGGGCAGCGATTAAGTAATTCTACAGGGTACCCAGACAGTATTGGTAAGTCCCATGTTTCAGCCACTGAACATACAGACTATTGTTATTATTAGGTATATGACAATTTGCAGATTTGGTGGGTCTCACAAGACATGTATACAAAATCTTATAAGTATGTTTGTAATGACTGAAAATATATGTTCGCTCCAATGACTGATTTTATGGTGCCAATGCTAAATAATCTTTAAGCTGTTTCTCACTGATCCAAATGTACTACACACTGCATTTAAAAAAAAAAATGAATCCAATTGTGCCTATTTTGAAATTAAGTTTAATCTGTACCAACATATTCTCCTATTATTCCTGAAGAGGGCATGTTATAGTGTATGTAAAATACTGTGTTGAAAGAATGTACAAAAGTTCTAAAGTATTATTTAACTTGAGTGAAATTCACTGATTGTGTTTTATGGACCTCTGTTTAATGAATTTGTCTTCTTCACTTACCAGGGGCGGTGGGGTAGTCTAGTGGTTAAAGCGTTGGCTCGTCACGCCGAAGACCCGGGTTCGAATCCCCACATGGGTACAATGAGTGAAGCCCATTTCTGGTGTCCCCCGCCGTGATATTGCTGGAATATTGCTAAAAGCGGCGTAAAACCGAACTCAGTCAGTCAGTCTTCACTTACCAAGCACTTACATCCTTAGAAATGAACTCACCCGTGGTTGTCCTATGAGTTGAGTAACAGGATCAGATGGTCATACATGTCATCATTTCACAACTGTAAAAATAGATGCTCGTGATATCAAACACGGGATTGTCTGCAAACTCATTTATTTACAGAATGTCGACATAAACTGGAATATTGTGGAGTGCGACCACAAACCATTAATGAACTTTTTCACACAGAGCTTTAGGGACTCATTTTTAATCCAGACTTGTTTTCCTTGTTAAAGATGTGCGTGTACATTAGAAAGAGCTGTGTTTAAAAGAGGTGTATAAGACTTTGTGTGTGAAATGATGGAAATGTTGGTATTCAATTTCCGACTGTAGATGAGTATTTGTTTGTCATAGTTGTCAGTAGACATTCCATATGATATTACACATCAAGGTTCAGACTTGCTCAGACTGCTATATTGTCAATTTAAAAACTTATTTTTTTGTGGCTGAAAGACATATTTGATCAGTGCTTAGGCATTAAAAATGAAAAATATTTTATTACGTACATGACCAGTTTGAACCATGAGCTGCAATCAATAAATGGAACTTTATTTGAACTTAAGGTAAAAACATAGCACGGTACAGCTACAGATGTTATTCAGTATACTTTATTATTACATTTATAAACTGAAACATTTAGTTAATGGCCAATATTTTATGATGGCCAATATTTTATGAAGACAACAAAGTGTTTTCTAAAGTTAAGTTGTATTTGTGCTTTTCTTTAGAGATGGTATATCTTGCACTATAAACAGGATTAATAATATTTCCCAAAATAAATGATTCCAAACAAGTTTGTGCTTACTAAACGAATAAAAACATTCAGCTAAACAAAACTGTATTATTTTGACTGACCCAAACGAATCTGTAAAGCATTAAATCAAAAAGAAGTGGCATTACTTTGGGCAAACTTGTTTGAATATGTCAATTTATCACCAATGAAAGACAAATTTCAAATGATAACAGCACCAGTGTTTTATTATTTTTCTTGGCAAGCCTGGGTTCACATCCATGTTACCAGGCTGTTCGGTGAAACAAGGGGAGGTCTGACAGCGTTATATTTATTTTCTAGTGACATTACTGGATAATTCAAAAGACCATATATTCTGTCTGTGATATTTTAACATGATTATACATTAGATGTTTATGTGTATGATTTGATTGTATGTATTTTAGTCATCCTTTCATCTGCTGTTCTTTTCTGAATCTCATATTAGTCATAATATTTCAGAATGTATAATGTATATTTGTATTTACTTGTATAAACAATAATTTATCTCAACATGTTTTTCAGGTATTTTCTTGAGGAATTCAGAAAAATGTTTCAGAACTTGAAAATGTACCGGTATACAAGTACAGTAATGTATCTATTATATGGCCCCCACCACGTGGAGTTACCTGGTTGGCTGCGCATGCGTAGCAGGGAGGTAAGCACCTAGTCCCGTATCACCATTCCTTCTGCTGAATAAATCAGTGAACAAAATTGCGGGGAGGTGGACGGCCCTACCCCAAGGACGAATCTCTTCAAAGAATTGGAAACCTCTGCAGGTTTAGTTAATTCTTTTTCAAAGAGATCGTCCTTGGGGTACATATATGCATAAACTCAGACTCCCAAAGACCGGAGGCCAGAGAGGAGGGAATTCGTCAAAGTACACATGAATAGCGATCATTAGGTGAATTGAAAGCAGCGTCAACTAACCAGATAACCAAGACTCACTCGGTCAGGGTGGCAGGACACTGTCCACTGGAGAGAACAGAACGGCCAAAACATGCACGATCACGTGAATGTGTATCGAGCTGATAGTGCCTGATAAAAGTGCTAGGCCTGCTCCAAATAGCGGCAGAGCATATCTCTTCAATGGGTAGTGCCGATGCAAAAGCTTCTGACGTGGCTACTGCCCTGACCGAGTGAGCCTCCAACCCCTCAGGGGGAGGCTTGCCTTTAGCCTGATAAGCAGCACAAATGACCGAGACAAGCCAGCGAGACAGGGTCTGTTTGCTCACAGGCACCCCAGCCTTCCCACCACCGTAACAGCAGAACAGATGGGTACCCGTACGGATCCCCTGTGTTCGTTTGATATAGACCTTGAGAGTGTTTCGGACGTCCAACGGGTGAGTGCTCGTTGGAGAGGTCCCGATGTGGAAGGCTGGGTAAGAGTAGGAAGTTGGGTAAGAGTAGGAAGTTCGATAGGAGCTGTCACATGGAAAGCGTGATCGACCTTCGGGGGTAAGTATCCGGGAGGTGAATTCTGACACGATCGGGATGGAACACAGTCAGCGCTGGGTCTGCCGACATCTGGGCGTAGGGTCGGCGACTTACATGCTATGTTACCGCCACCAGAAATACAGCCTTCCATATTAACAACTGAATGGAAATAGCCGATAGACGTGAGAACGTAGGACCAATCTAGCACAAGTGACAAACCCCAAGGTGGGCTGGTTCGCCTTACAGCAGGTCGAACCCGATCCACGCCAGCTAAAAAGCGCTGCATGAGAGGGTGCTGCCCCAGAAGAGCACCATCGACAGGGGTGTGAAAAGTGGAAATAGCCGCCAAGCCTTCTTCCAAACAAGCTTGCAAAAAACTCCAATACTCGGACTAAATCCGCAGAAAAGGGATCCGCAATCCCCTTATCTGAACACCAGCGCGCATAGCGGGACCACCTATCCTCATACTGAACGTTTGTCGAATCCCTCCTCGAAGCCAGAATTGTGTCTGCAACTGCCTCAGGAATTCCGCGTGCTTCGAATGCTTGGATTATGGTATGGCGCGCTGGTCTGAGTGAGAATGTCCGGTCGCAAAGGTAATAGAACAGGAGGCTGATCCAGAAACCTGAGAATTACCAGAAACCAGCTCTGTGACGGCCATAGCTAGTAGCACAAGTAGCCGAGTTGGCTGGGTGGACAGCTGGGAGAGGACCCGGGGAATGAGTGGTAGCGGCGGGGAACGCCCAGAGCACTTTGCCCGTCCAATCCAGCAGGAAGGCGTCGGAAGCCAACGCCCTCTGGTCCGGTATTCGAGAGTAGAAAACATGGGTATCTGATTCTTCCCGCCGGACACAAACAGATCCACCTGGAACGATCCGTACAACTGGGACATAACTCCGAATATCTGCCGGTCGAGCATCCACTTGTGCGGGGCCAGGATCCGGCGAGAGAGAGCGTCTGCTCGCACGTTCTCCAGCCCCGGGAGATAAACAGGAAGCACCTGACAGTCGCACTGGTCGCACCAGAGGAGAAATTCCAACGTCTCCCGGAGGAGCGCTAGGGACACCGTGCCGCCTTGCTTCAGGATGTACGTCATGGCCGTACGGTTGTCCAACTGAAGACGAACCACCTGGCCCTGAACATGATCCCGGAAGCGTTCGAAAACCAACCGCAAAGCTCTCAGTTCCAAGACGCTGATGTGAAGGCGGGCTTCGGCTTCGGGACCAGAGTCCGGACACCGACAGACTGCCCAGAACACCCACCCCAGCCAGTGAGGGACGCATCGGTTTGAACTGTAAGAGCTGGCGTCGGGATGTCAAAAGGGATCCTCTTGGAGAGATTCCCGACATTGGTCCACCACTGAAGGTGAGGAGACAACCACCCGGGGACTGTGAGACACTTCTCCAGATCCTCTGAGTGAGCCCACAGACTCGCCAAAGCTTGCTGTATAGGGTGCATCCTCAACCGCGCCTGCCACACGACAGAGATAGTCGCCACCATATGACCCAGTATACGGAGCCAAGTCCGCGCTGGTGCCTGGGGCTGGGAGAGGAACGAAGACACCATCTCCCGTACTCTGGTGACCCGGTCGTGCGATGGGTACCAGGTCAGATTTCTTGACGTTTTTTATCCACCCGAGTCGAACTAGAATGTCTATCACCTTGTGGGTAGAATCTAGGCTTGCTGGCTGAGCTAGAGTGAAAAGGGCCCAGTCGTCGAGGTAAGGGTAACAACGCCTTCCTTGCAACCTCGCAAGGGTAGCTGGCACTAACATGAGCTTGGTGAACACCCTGGGGGCAGTAGATATGCCGAAGGGGAGCACCATGAACTGGTAACCCATCCCGTAGTAAGAGAACCGGAGATACTGCTTGAACGATTGATGAATTGGCACATGTAGATACGCATCCTTTAGATCGATCGATCTCCGGGCTGAACAGAGGAGATCACTGAGCGAAGTGTCTTCATCTTGAAGGATGGAACCTCTAGCATGCGATTCAACCCCTTGAGGTTGAGAATGGGACGGAACCCGCCGTCTTTCTTCGGGACGAGGAAGTACGTGGAATAAAATCCTGCCTGTTCCTCGCCCGGTGGTATGCGCTCTATGGCGGACTTGTCCAGCAAAGCCTGAACTTCGTCGCGCAGTATACCCGCCCTGACCAGACATGGCGTCACCGGAGTGCGACGTATGCCTGTGAATTCTGGCGGGCCTCGCTTCCACAGTGGTAGATGGCCGACACTGACGGTGGAAAGAACCCAAGTGTTGCTGGTAGCCTTCTCCCTGTCCGGTAGCAATAGAGAGAGGCGGCCCCCCATTGGGACGTGTGATAAGAGAGAGTGAGTGGTCCCTTGCAGACGAACTGACTGGGACGGACCCACGGCGACAGCCTGTTGGGTTAACGGGAGGTCGGGGGAGACCTTCTGCGCCCGCGAAAAGGCTGGTGGGAGCCAGACGAAGAGGACTGCTCCTTGCCCTTACCCTTGGCGGGACGGCTCCTCCTCCTACCCCTGCCCAGCGGCCGAAGCCAGCCGGCCAACTCAGGTGTAGGCTG